AGATAAAGTATGATATGGAGGTATTGGTATTTGACGTACACAAGATGGCAAAAAAGTACTTGTAAACGGTTGAGTACTCCCTGGATCTGTGATCGATGTAATTGTAACAAAATGAAAGAAAGACTTCTTCGAAGGAAGAGTCTTTTTTGTACATACCCTTTCACAAGAGTACGCTGAAATAGACGCACCATGCCCTCACTATTTTGCACCATGACATCGTCCTGCATGACAGTGAGATGACATCACTGCCGAGAACTCACCTACTGTATGATGTGGTGGATGTAAGTGGCAACAAGTTCGCTATGACAAGCAATTATTGTTAAAAATGAATATCGTGATGGATAGCTTTAGAGTCATTAAAAACGAACTAGAAAACGCTGAAATTAGAGATATTATTCCATCACCTACAGAACGATGATATAGAAACAAAATTGAATATAGCTTTGGTGATCGAAAGAAATGAGATAATCATAATCCACGAGCATTAGGTTTTCACAAGCAATGACAATTCTCGCAAATTGTTGACATAAATGAATGTCTTCTTGTATCTCCCCTTGGAAGAAAACTTTTTAAACACCTCAAGAAAGTCTGTCTTGATTCTTGATTACCTGTGTATAATCAAGTACGTCACCATGGATTCTTTAGACACCTCGTAGTACGCGAAGGATTTAATACAAATCAATTTCTTGTGAACTTGAGCGTTGCAGATACATATTTGGATGCTGCAGGAAAAGCACGATGGGAAACATTAAAAAATGTATTTATGCAGGATGAGTTTTTACAAGAACATATTACAACATTTCTCATTTCTCAAAATAACTGATTAGGTGATACTGTTTTCAATAATGAAACATTGCAATCAACGTTACGATGAGATGGATACGTATTTGAGAAGCTTCGCTTCTCTGGTCGTCATGACGACCAAGACGTTGATATCGAAGCAAACTTTAGAATATCTGCTAATAGTTTTTTTCAAACAAATACGTTGTGAGCTGAATGTTTATTTAGAAATGCTGCTGGTCTCTTATGAGATATAGATGGGCCAATTATTGATCTGTATTGTGGAACTGGGACAATCGGTATCGCTTTCCAGAAGTTATGAATTGGGACAAGTCTTTATGGTATTGAAATCGTGCCAGATGCTATTGTAGATGCACATCACAATGCAAAAATTAACAATCTACAAGATTACTATTTCATAGCATGAAAAGCTGAAGATCTTTTACACACAGATGAACATTTTGCACACGCGTGTGAAACCACAAACTGTATTATTGTTGATCCTCCACGTGATGGGTTGCACAAAAATGTCATTTCATTTCTCAACACACTTAGAAAACAAAGACCATATAAGCTCCTCTATATATCATGTAATCCTGTAACTCTAGCAAGAGATATATGATTACTCTCAGAAGAATTTACTACAAGAGTAATTCAACCCGTAGATATGTTTCCACATACACATCATATAGAAACAATTTGTTTAATGTCATAATCAACAAGAACATATGTTCTTGTTTTTTTTATTATAGTAGCATCTAAATAATAAATACCTATATAGACACATATAGGATCTTCATATAGGATAGGATATATGTAAGACACAACTTACCTATTTAACATAATATTTTTTTATAATACTGTCAATACAATCACCAATAAAAACGGTTTTTTATTACAGAAAACAGCAAAAAATCACAACATTGCTCTTGAAAAAGCCAATCATTACCATATCCAGATGTGGCACATTTTATCTTATTACATGTTTGCCACATGTCATTGAAACACATCAAAAAAGGGTTTACACTTATTGAAATGCTTATCGTAGTAGTAATCATCGGGATTCTCGCTGCAGCTCTTATTCCTAGACTTCAATCTGTTCAAAGTAGAGCAAGAGATACTAAGAGAAAAGCTGATCTAGCTCAAATCGGTGGTGGTCTTTCTGTTTACAAATCTGATAATGGTAGCTTCGCTGCTTTCTCAGGTAAAGCTAATGTTGGTTCTACTGCAACTGTAGGTGATATCGCTTACACTCTTGTAAATAGTAACTACCTTACTTCAGTTCCTACTGATTCTGCTACTGTTACTTCTACTATCGGTTCTACTGCTAACTCTAGCGCTACTTACGCTTACGTTCCTCTTAAGACTACTGCTGGTAATGACGGTGGTTTCGTTCTTGGAGCTAAAACTGAAACTGCTGGTTCTTCTTCTAACTTCGTGAAGAGTACTATCAACACTTTCGCTACTCAAGAATTAATCACTACTGCTCAATCAAGACTTGCTACTGGTACTATCGTACAAACAACTCTTCTTAATGCTACTGGTTCTAGCTTTGCTGGTGCTAATGGTGATGAACTAAGATACGTATACATTCAATAATTCATAATCTATAACCCTCTCCTCTAGGAAGAGATTCATCTCCCCCTAATGAGAGATATAAAACTCCTCTCAGCAATGATTGGAGTTTTTATATAAAAAATATTATCAGATACTGATTGTTATATGTAATATTATATGTAATACTTTATTTAATATCATTGTTAATACATGTCATTGAAACACATTAAAAAAGGGTTTACACTTATTGAAATGCTTATCGTAGTAGTAATCATCGGGATTCTCGCTGCAGCTCTTATTCCTAGACTTCAATCTGTTCAAAGTAGAGCAAGAGATACTAAGAGAAAAGCTGATCTAGCTCAAATCGGTGGTGGTCTTTCTGTTTACAAATCTGATAATGGTAGCTTCGCTGCTTTCTCAGGTAAAGCTAATGTTGGTTCTACTGCAACTGCAGGTGATATCGCTTACACTCTTGTAAATAGTAACTACCTTACTTCAGTTCCTACTGATTCTGCTACTGTTACTTCTACTATCGGTTCTACTGCTAACTCTAGCGCTACTTACGCTTACGTTCCTCTTAAGACTACTGCTGGTAATGACGGTGGTTTCGTTCTTGGAGCTAAAACTGAAACTGCTGGTTCTTCTTCTAACTTCGTGAAGAGTACTATCAACACTTTCGCTACTCAAGAATTAATCACTACTGCTCAATCAAGACTTGCTACTGGTACTATCGTACAAACAACTCTTGTTGATGGTACTGGTTCTAGCTTTGCTGGTGCTAATGGTGATGAACTAAGATACGTATACATTCAATAATTCATAATCTATAACCCTCTCCTCTAGGAAGAGATTCATCTCCCCCTAATGAGAGATATAAAACTCCTCTCAGCAATGATTGGAGTTTTTATATAAAAAATATTATCAGATACTGATTGTTATATGTAATATTATATGTAATACTTTATTTAATATCATTGTTAATACATGTCATTGAAACACATTAAAAAAGGGTTTACACTTATTGAAATGCTTATCGTAGTAGTAATCATCGGGATTCTCGCTGCAGCTCTTATTCCTAGACTTCAATCTGTTCAAAGTAGAGCAAGAGATACTAAGAGAAAAGCTGATCTAGCTCAAATCGGTGGTGGTCTTTCTGTTTACAAATCTGATAATGGTAGCTTCGCTGCTTTCTCAGGTAAAGCTAATGTTGGTTCTACTGCAACTGCAGGTGATATCGCTTACACTCTTGTAAATAGTAACTACCTTACTTCAGTTCCTACTGATTCTGCTACTGTTACTTCTACTATCGGTTCTACTGCTAACTCTAGCGCTACTTACGCTTACGTTCCTCTTAAGACTACTGCTGGTAATGACGGTGGTTTCGTTCTTGGAGCTAAAACTGAAACTGCTGGTTCTTCTTCTAACTTCGTGAAGAGTACTATCAACACTTTCGCTACTCAAGAATTAATCACTACTGCTCAATCAAGACTTGCTACTGGTACTATCGTACAAACAACTCTTGTTGATGGTACTGGTTCTAGCTTTGCTGGTGCTAATGGTGATGAACTAAGATACGTATACATTCAATAATTCATAATCTATAACCCTCTCCTCTAGGAAGAGATTCATCTCCCCCTAATGAGAGATATAAAACTCCTCTCAGCAATGATTGGAGTTTTTATATAAAAAATATTATCAGATACTGATTGTTATATGTAATATTATATGTAATACTTTATTTAATATCATTGTTAATACATGTCATTGAAACACATTAAAAAAGGGTTTACACTTATTGAAATGCTTATCGTAGTAGTAATCATCGGGATTCTCGCTGCAGCTCTTATTCCTAGACTTCAATCTGTTCAAAGTAGAGCAAGAGATACTAAGAGAAAAGCTGATCTAGCTCAAATCGGTGGTGGTCTTTCTGTTTACAAATCTGATAATGGTAGCTTCGCTGCTTTCTCAGGTAAAGCTAATGTTGGTTCTACTGCAACTGCAGGTGATATCGCTTACACTCTTGTAAATAGTAACTACCTTACTTCAGTTCCTACTGATTCTGCTACTGTTACTTCTACTATCGGTTCTACTGCTAACTCTAGCGCTACTTACGCTTACGTTCCTCTTAAGACTACTGCTGGTAATGACGGTGGTTTCGTTCTTGGAGCTAAAACTGAAACTGCTGGTTCTTCTTCTAACTTCGTGAAGAGTACTATCAACACTTTCGCTACTCAAGAATTAATCACTACTGCTCAATCAAGACTTGCTACTGGTACTATCGTACAAACAACTCTTGTTGATGGTACTGGTTCTAGCTTTGCTGGTGCTAATGGTGATGAACTAAGATACGTATACATTCAATAATTCATAATCTATAACCCTCTCCTCTAGGAAGAGATTCATCTCCCCCTAATGAGAGATATAAAACTCCTCTCAGCAATGATTGGAGTTTTTATATAAAAAATATTANTGCAGTAATCATATTCATATCATCATCTTGTGTCACGCCATATGGTACTTCTATTGTTCATCTCATTTTTCCTCCTATTTGTACAGGTAATTGCAGCGTATCAGTAGCAAGCAAACTATCATCATACATTGGTCGTTGTGTAATATGAATATTACCTTCATGTCATAAATTTGCTCGTAATTGTTGTGTGAGTTTTGTTGCAAATGGAGCAAGCAATTTCAAGAATATTGTCATATGCGCCGTACTAATCTTTTTCACATCATAGATATGATTTACAAAAACCATCATCTTAGAAACAGCAGTATTAAACTTCAATTTCTCTATATCCTCACTTACACCTTTAATAGTCTTATGAAGTTGGATAGTTGTTTGTTGATCTCAATCATCAGCTGTGAGAAATTCTTTCATTCTTACCACTCTATCCAAAAATCTTTTCACACCATCAACTGCGTTATCATTCCATGGCTTTTCCACCTCCAATGGTCACATAAACATCGTATATGTTCTGAGTACATCAGCACCCATCTCAGCACCATATTTGTTCACTAAATCCTCTGGTGTTACCACATTCCCTCGACGTTTTGACATCTTACGCCCATCTGGTCCAAGAATCATTCACTGATGAAATAATTTTTGAAATGGTTCTGCACAATCTACTACTCCTTGATCAAATAAAAACTTATGAATAAACCTACTATAAAGAAGATGCCCGTAAATATGCTCCTTTCCCCCTATATAAAAATCTACCGGCAATGCTTTCGCAGCAAGTTCCTTGCTAATGAGCTCACGCTCATTTTGTGGGCCAACAAAACGTAAGTAGTAAAACGACGAACACATAAATGTATCCAACGTATCACACTCACGAAGATACACATTCCCATCTGGTGCATTATAGTATGGAAATGTTGGATGATCAGCTAATGGTGACTTCCCTGCTGGTTTGTAGTTACCTAGATCAAGTGGAAGAACGACTGGAAGTTGCTCTTCTGGAATAAGATGCGGAATCCATTTTGCTTTGTCTGGATGCGGATTATAGGCGTTGTATTGAGGATCATCAAATGTATAGTACACAGGTATTGGACTACCCCAATAACGCTGTCTACTTACTGACCAATCACGAAGTTTGTATGTAATTTTTTTCTTTCACAGTCAATTTTTTTCAAGATGTTCTATAATAGCTTGTTTTGCTACTGTATTATCAAGACCATCAAATTGTTGTGAATTAATGAGGAGACCACTTGATGTGTAGGCACCATTATCTAAGTATTGCACATCTATAATATCTTTTTCACGTTGTTTTACTTTTGCCTGTTCTCTTTTTACGGCAGCCGTAAAAGAAAAATCCAATACTTTTCCTTTGTGTCACCACAAAACTTTTTCGTCAGCATCGTAATTATCATGAAATGGAATATATCATGGAATGATTGCATCGTCTCATAATTCTATTTGAATACCATGTTTCTCAAACATATACACACCATTTTCTTTTTGTTGTAATAATATATATCAAGCATTTTTTAATACATCAATATATTTTTGCATATCACCTGATCTCAGTGCAAAATCCAAATCATGATGAGTTCTATAGATTACTCATGCTATATATGGCAAGATAATTCACCCACTTAAATAGACATCACAATCTGTATTTGCTGCTAGATTAAAAATTTCATCAGCTATTGATAACATAAGATCCACTCTTTGCTTATCCACTCATGCTGGCAAAATAACTTGCTTAATATTCAACCCATGTTTTTTTGCAAAAGCCCAATCTCTTTGATCATGTGCTGGTACAAACATGACTGCTCCAGTAGCATAATCAGGAAGTACGTAATCAGCAAACCATACTGGTATTTTTTCACCAGTTAATGGATGCATTGCATACACACCAGAAAATACTCATGACTTAGTTTCAGCATCTTGCTGTCTTTCGATATTCGTTTTCTTCGAGGTTGCAAGGCGATATTCTTCAATAGCTGACTTATATTCCGTAGGAATATACGCATCGACAGATGCGTTTTCAGGAGCAAGCACTAGCGCAGTTACACCAAAAACCGTATCGGGACGAGTCGTAAAGACGGTTATTTTATTTTCTCCTCCGTCAATCGCAAAATCTATTTCTGCTCATTCACTCTTGCCTATCCAATACTTTTGTTGGGTTTTAGTTTCTTCTGGTCGATCTACTAGATCAAGATCATTGATAAGTCTATCAGCATAATCAGTAATTTTAATGAATCGTTGAGGATGTTTTTTTTGGATAATTTCAGTACCACATCTCTCACAACATCAGTCCACAACTTGATCATTTGCAAGCACTGTCTGATCAACAGGACATCGATTTACATAAGAATCTTTTTTATACACTAATCATGCCGCAAAAAGTTTCTGAAAAATTCGTTGTGTTCGCTTGTAATATTCAGGTGATGAAGTGGTAATTTCACGATCCCAGTCATATGACCAATCCATCAATGTACATTGATTTTTATAATTCGCAATATTTTCTGCTGTCACTTCAGATGCAGATCTTCCCAGTTTCATAGCATAGTTTTCGGTAGGTAGCCCAAAAGAATCCCAACCCATAGGATTAATCACATGGTATCATTGCATACGTTTATAACGAGCTATAATATCATTTGCAGTAAAATTAGAGCCATGTCCTACATGTAAACCTGCACCACTAGGATAAGGAAACATCGCCAAGGCATAGTATGTATTATCTTTTGTAGCTTGTGTTAAATCAGCTTGATACATATTCTTTTCTGTCATATGAAATATTTAATAATAGATATGTAAAATATATGCAATGGAAGTATGGTTTCAAGGTGGTTTATCAGAAAATCATTGTATTATGTA